AGTCATATAGAACAGCCGTTTCCGAGCCTAGAAGCAACAGAGTCTTATCAACGTGTATTTTGACATCTTGATTAGCTGAGAAATCTGATGTGGAACTAAGGTTTTATGAAAAGGAGGAGACCAAGGATAAAATAAGGATGTTTGGTGTGTTAGGGAGGAAAAGACAGAAAGCTCAAGAGGAAGGGATTGAGGAGCCAAGTGAGGGCAATGATACTGCTAAGTTCTGGCTCGATACATGTACTCCTACCTGGCGGATTCGACGCTTCTTTGCCACATTTCGTGGCTTCTACGAGGTGAATCCCTTTACTACGTCCGACGTGTGGTTCATGACCGAATAACTTCATCAGGGCTCCTTGGATCTTACTGGTCGCACCGAAAGGCGCTGGAACTCGTTGAAACCTAGGATGATTTCGTTTCTGGAAGATCTTGACATACTCAAGCAACATGCCACCAGGACGACATCGGTGGCGGAATGTCCCGTGCTTGAGGGTATGGAGCCGCACAAAATCACTACAACCAAATACCAGCTCGATCCCGAGTTATCGGCGATAGACATCCTGAAAAAATATAGGATGAATGACGGCGCACTATTAGATGAAATATTCCCCTTGGCAGGTGAGCGCTACGTGATCAAGTTCAAGTCGTGTTTCGTAACCCTTGATTTATGCATAGAACAGATGAAAGGGCTGCTTTCATCGGAGTCACAGCCCATCTTTCAGAAACTGTTCTTGCTGGATCTCCCGCCTGAGATAATTCATCACGTAATGGAACTTACGGACGTTGAAGGCGCACGTCTTCTTGGAGCCACTTGTCACGCAATGTATGATATATCACTATCGCACAAATATAAGGTTTGTTGCCCATACATGCGTCTTGTCTGTGAACTAATGATCCGTGCAGTGTCGATATCTCGCTTTGAAATTTAACCCAGACATGGAGAGTGTTGGTGTTGACACCAGTGATGAAATTTACATGGAGAAGATGAGGGAATACCTGCATTCACATCTCTTTTCAACGCTGCAGGAGCTGTCGCAGGATATCACATTTCTCCTCTCCCGCACAGACATTACCCAACGCATCAGAAACCTCTCACTGGGGAATCAATGGAGCTCCGACCACTTGGCCCTGGCTGGTCTTGACCTCAGCGACGACCCTAATGCTTATGCCACGTTCTTCGCCCCCGTCTGCAAAGGTTTCGAGTCTGTTCTAACGCGCGCATCAGACGTTGTTGATTTGTGCCTCTCCACGACTATCTCACCGCAGATGTTATTCGCCATGGCAGCGATGGCCAATCTCCGTACGCTGGAAATTATCGACTGTCGTTTTTCCACACGACCCCAGACCCAGTTGCCCCGGTTGACTTCCGTGATCAATGCTTCATTCATCATCACCTCCGACGATGACGACGACGCAGATGAAGTTTTGCTCCTGCTCGCTTCGCTGCCCAATCTTCGCATGCTATGTGTGGACGGATCGCCTTACAAGCCTTTCCGAATGCATCAAATTGGTTTTGATAAAGGAGACGAGCCCCCTCGGCGCATTGAACGCATTTCCCTAGCGCAAATCGCTCGTGACCAACTACCTGTGCTTGGTATCTGGATTCGCCGAGCAGCCGAGTTGAACGACGGACGGTCTTGCCTCACACATTTCAAGCTAGAGGTCGAATACGGACTAGGCCGAGATGAACTAGCTGATTTAATATCTGCCCTTCGGGGTGCTCCCATGGACACTCTGATTCTTGATGGTCTGGCCTACGTAGGGCTGGATTTATTTGCGGATATCTCTAGTGCTTTTCCGGGCCTGCGTTCGCTGACGCTTTTTCGTCGCGAGAATAGTCTGCAGCGGCGTTGTTCACGTAGCAGATGGCCAGAGCCGTCCTGGACGTATGCGTCGTATCTCTCTCGATTCACGAACTTGCAGCATTTCGGGTGGAACTTTGACATCAATCCTTACTGCGTGTATAGCCCGCGCTTTCTCCTCCTGATGGAGAACGGGTACTCCACCGAAAGCTGGGAGTCAGTTTTCCAATCCGCCGCCGACGAATGCTTTACCGAATGGGAGTGTCTGGCTCGACTTTTCGCAGCTTACTGTGCAACACTCCAATCGCTGAGTTTCGCAGTATCGGATGTCGTAGCGATCCAGGACTTCTCAATCTCAAGGGACAATGAGGGAAAGGTTACAGTTGACACCTTTGATATCAATGGTTCGATCGGGCGAATGATCGTTACAAACCCGGCTGCCTATGCTAACTCATATCCGTGGTTAGTGAGCGTATCGAGAGCATAGCAATGGTGCAACGTCTACTTTCAATTGTTCACAGAGCAGCGCCCGTACCGAAAGGAGGGCCCCTCATCGAGCCAACGACCTCATTATTGCATCTAAATAGACAAGGAGCATCGAATATCTCTTCTTCTTGCGTGTCTTGTTTTCTCTTCTCTTTGTCTTTCTTTACCGAGTCGGAATCAGATTCTGAGTTAATAACGTCAGTGGTGACGAGTCATATGTTTCCCACTTGAATGGGCACTCAGGGAACCGGGGAATAGTCTGACCTAGCGGGCCCTCGCTCGGTATGCTCTCATTCGTGTTGTTTCTATCACCAAACTGGAGGAAAAGAGAAATTGTATGTCCAAACCGAGTTCATTCTGAAGTAGAAGCAGTCAACATATCATAATGTCAATAACCGAACGTACGGCTTTTATTTGCGCAACTTCGTGTGTGTACGATATCAGTAACTTTCGTTGACGGTATTTATTCCAGACGATCCCTA